TAAATAGGCACTTCTTCAAAGATACATAAAAGTCATCAAGGATGTAGCTCAGTGGCACAGTGCCTGCCTGGTAAGTACAAGGTCCTGCATTTGATTCCTAGTACCAAAAATCAATAGTACTAAAACAAAGATGTATAAGTGACATAAGTGACCAAGGGTGGAGATGCTGGAAATAGGGAAAACCAGATCAACATGGTTATTAGAAGGATGAACTAAGGTATCTACCACGGTGTTTTTACGATTCTGTCACTTAATAAAAAGTGTCTGCTTCTATAAGTGACCAAGTAACATGTGAAAAATGTTTAACATCATTAATCATCAAAAAAATCAAAACCTCAAGAAGATACTTCTGTGTATCTAATAGGTCAACATCAAAAAGTCAGATAAATGTTGATAAAGGTATACAAAAATAATAGCAATAGAAGAGCAATGGTCTCCATTCTGGCTGCGCCTGACCCTATTTGCATATATTGAAATGTATAGAGCTGGCTAGGACTTTTTCCTTATCGCTGTATAGGCTCCAAGCAATGCATATTGGTCTAGAAGAGGTGCTGGCAGTAGTCTCTGAAGACAGCACATGTGTTTCACTGGTTAACCCCACCTCTTGCTCTTTAGCATGGGCTGGGTTGAGACAAGATGAAGAGCCAATGCTCCACGCTGTTGGCTGGGAATGAGTCTCGAGATAGGGGCTATGGATTCTTGGGACTTGAAAGATTACACATCAGAGATGAAGAACCAGACCCCAAAACACTAGATACTTGGGCCAGGGAGATAGATCAGTAGAATAAGTGCTTACCTGGCAAGCGCGAGGCCTGAGTTCAATCCCCAGTTCTCCCCCCACCCCCCCAAAAAAAGAAAACACACACACACTGCTTGGGGCTGAGGAGATAGCTCATGGAATAAGCGCTTGCCTGCCAAGCAATCCTGGGTACCACAAAAAGAAAGAAAAGAAAAGAAAATGCTAGAAACTATCTCAACTGTGTAATGCAGATTACTCTATGCATACCCTTCTCTCTACATATTGCAGAGGTAAATGCAGGCCTCCTGCCTAGCCCAGCTCACAGCACTCACCTACTTCCTGCCATCCTCAGCCATTCATCCTCAAGCTACTTCTCCTTCATGACCGAATAAAACCTGGGTTTAGCCCTGAGTTGAGACATTTGCTCCATCACCATGGCTGGACTTAGGACCCTTTGACTCTCCATAACTATAAATACCATTTAGTGTCTTTATTCTCTCTGTGGGTTGTACTGGAAGTGGTGGATTGGTATTAACTTGACAGGATTCCAATAACTTATCCATGAGATTACAAATATTTCCTGGGCCAAGACAAGGACCAGGAAGCATCTCATGAAATGTTATCTGGCTCGGGCCAATATGCTGACTTAAATGCTCAAGCTCAGGCCCCAATCCCTTCTTTTCATGCAGTATGAAGAGCTGCTACACCATGCATGGATTTCTGTCCCAGAGGATGGTACACCTAACAAATACTTTACTCAGCTACTCCAAGTCCTAGAGAAACTTACACCCAGTTTGTAGCCAGACTAAAAGAGGCCATAAATAAGCAGATTCCTCACAGCATAGCAGCTAAAATGATCCTTTTTCAATTAACATATGAGAATGCCAATAATGAATGTAAAAGAGCCTTAGCCTCAGTACTTCATACAAAAAAATGTACCTGCTTACACTCATGCACACCAAAGCATTGGCTCTACCCACTCATGCTTCTGAACTCATGGCACAGGCTATATTCCAACACTTAGCTAATAAATCTGATGTGATTAAATGTTTTAATTGTGCTAAGCAAGGACACACTCACCAGCACAGCTCACAGCCTATCAAAGCACCAGCCCCCTCAGCAGATTTGCCTGGCTAGCTGTCAGTACAGCATGAGACTCTTAATTTCAGTGTCATGGGTTTGAGCCCCACATTGGGTGCCAAACATAGAGGGCCCTTCCTGGTCCTCATCTCCTTCCAGGAAATTTATATTTGTAATCTCACAGATGAGTTACTGGAATTAGATGGCAAGTTAATTCCAATTGGAATTAACTATTAATTCCAATCCAACACTTCCAGTGCCACCCACAGAGAGAGTAAAGACACTAAAGCATATTTTAGTTATGGGGAGCCAAGGAGTCCTAATTCCAGCCATGGTGATGGCTACCCGGAGCAAAGGTCTCAACTCAGGGCTGAACCCAGGTTTTATTCATCCATGAAGGAGAAGTAGCTTGAGGATGAATGGCTGAGAATGGCAAGAAGTAGGTGAGTATGGGAGCTGGGCTTGGTAGGAGGCCTGCATTTACCTCTACAGAGAGAAGGTTGTACAGAGAGTAACCTGCATTACACAATTGAGATAGTATCTAATGTTTTGGGGTCTGGTGCTTCATCTCTGATGTGTAATCTTTCAAGCCCCAGGAAGTCATAGCCCCTATCTCAATACTCAATCCCAGCTGACAGCATGGAGCAGTGGCTCTTCATCCTGTCTCAACCCAGCCTATGTTAAAGAGCAACAGGTGGGAGTAAATGGGGAGACACGTGTGCTGTCTTCAGAGACCACCACCAGCACCTCTGCTAGCCCGATATGCATGTCTCAGAGCCTATCAAAGAGATAAGGAGAAATCCTAGCCAGATCTGCATATATCATACATGGAAATAGGGTCAGGCACAGCCAAAGTGGAGACAATTGCTCTTTTTTCATGTAGAGTCACCCAGGGGGTCCTCCACATGAAGTATTGATACAAGTTATAATATGGATAAACTTGAAAACAATATGAAAAGTGAAAGAAGCAGGACATCTAATAATGTAAAATATCCAATAAGCAAACTGATACAGACCTAAAGTGAATTAGAGATAGCGGAGGACTGAGGAGAAGGGAAAGGGGTTGATTGATGATGGGTGCGGCATTTATTTTGGGAGGGATTAAAATGTTCAGCAGTTAGATAGCAGCAATGGTTTCATACTTTGCAAACTAAAATCTACTAAATTGTACTGTTTAAAAATGGTGAGTTTTATGGACTACGAATTGTAACTTTGTAGAGAGACCTAAAGTTAGGGATGTAGCTCAGTAGTGGAGTGACTGCTGCAGATGCACAAGGGCCTAGATTCAACCCCCAGCTCCACAAAGTAATTAATTAGTTAATTAATACTTTTACAAACAAATGGGTTTTTTGTTTGTTTGTTTTTGTATTTTAGGGAAGTGTCTACAGGGTATTCAGGGTCTCACTACTAGATCGGACTCATAGTGATCCGCCTGTTTACAGCCTCCCAAGAGCTGGGATTACAGGTGCATGCGCCACTATGCCCAGTCTCAATTGCCATCTCAGCTGGGGCAGAGCTGACACAGCAGGCCAGGGGATCAAACCCCTGGCCCCTGCGCCTGCTTGCAGGCACTTTAATCCACTGAGCTACTTGGCCAGCCCACACCACACAAATGTTAATTTTCTTTCTTTCATTTTAAGGCAGAGTCTCACTGTGTAAGTCATGCTAGCCTTGAACTCACTATGCAGCCCAGGCTGGCTTTAAATTCTCATCAATCCTTCTGCCTCAGCCTTCCAACTGCTGGGATTCCAGGCATGTGCTATCACACCTAACAAGACTTTATAAAATACAGAAAAGAATTCCCAAACAAAAGCATAATCCATGTCCTTAGAAGGGAAAATCCACTATCATAATGTAGCCTTTCTTCCCAAGTCAATGTATTTACAGTCAAAATTCTAGCTTGACGTTTCAGGAAGTTAACACTGGCCCCATGAAAATGCTTGGTGGAAATTTTTATATTTTATAATATCTTTGAATAGCTTAAGTCCTTGGAAGTATCTGAATTTGTAAATTTTTAAAAATTTGAATTAGTTCTCCTTGGTCCCTTGTTTTTGGTAGACCTTTAATGGCCTGAGTGCGTCAAGTTCTGGCAGTTTCTGCTTTGCTAGGAAATCACATAGCCTTAGGGCTCTAACTGTAATATTCTCTCACATTTATTGAAACCTTCCTGTGGCTACTTCACTTTCCTCTTCCCACTGCTTTCTTTCTTGATTACCTGGATTTATGATGTATTTCTCAGCAACACTTGCCAAAATACCACCCTTTTGCTTTCTTTCCCACTGCCCTCTGTTGTTTTCTAGATTCACTGGGCCTACCTTTTGCTAGTTTCCTAAGGAGTCCAGAGGTGCTGAAGCCTGGGTCAGGAGAAGACAAGGAAGAGCGTCCTGAGAGGAGAGCCGTGTGGAGATGCACTGCCACAGACACTCCCCTCTTATATGGCTGGCCCGCAAGAAGGGACCGCACACCAACTTCACAGGAGGGTACCCACACAGAACATCACCTGAGCCTCTCTCTCCATCCCGAGCTCCAACATGTCTCTGACATGACCGCAGATTAATAGTAAAGCCTCCTCCTTTCCCAGGAGGCTTTTTTTTCTGTGGGAGACACAGCCCTGCAGCAATTATATTAATCTCTATGTCATAATGCAATTGTGAATTCATAGCTTTCTCCTCACTCATATTAGTCATGTCAGGCCTTGGGGAGCAGAAATCAGAGCCAGTGAACCATCTAGAAACAGGCCATGGCAGTGAAATGTTGTGTAAGCGGCCTGGCCAGATCCGCTAGGCAGACTGGGGGTGGTGGGTGGGTAACTTGCTAGGCTTCACGGGTCTTGGGAAAAGAGGGGATGTTAAAATAGTGAGTACCTTTGTACAAGTAGAAAACAGCAGTCTTAATTCATCTGTACATTTCCCATTTAATTCTGATGACAGACCAACGGCCATCTAATTTTAATTGTCACTGAGGATAGTGAAGAAATAATTAGATGGATGAAGGTGCAGAAGCAAAAGCAAAAACGGGTGAGTAGATGCTCACAAACTTAAGAGAAATACAGACCACTGATATCTCCGTGGGAAGGGTGTGGGATTCAGCCTTTTTGGACCCACCATCTAAAATAACAAGCCATCAATTCAATATTAGCTCATCCCCCATCCTTTTCCCAGCCTGGGCTGTCTGGATCTGTGCCTGACTGTGACACAGAGAGTGACTTTAAAGAAACAAAGCCATCAAAAAGTGCCTGGGCTATAAGCAAGAGTGTGAGGACTCGGAGTGATTTGTTCCAAGGCCAGGAAGACTGTATGCATAGTGAGGGGCTGAACATCTGACTCAGTGTCAAGATACTTGGTTGTGACAAAGAAAAGTCAGCCAGTGTGAACAGAAAAAAAGCTAGGCAAAAACATTGGGGTGCCAAGCCTCCCAAACCCGATCAGCCCTGAAGATGTAGAGCGTGAGGGATAAAGCCGTGTCACATCTCTAACACCCTCTTCTGCCTGCTCATTGCTTCTTCCTTAATCGAAAGGGCTCTGTGACTGGGGTGGGGTGATACATGCAGGTCCGTGGTGCCCATAGTGTCCTGCTAACTCCTGTGAGTTCTCTGAGGAAGGGCTGGCATTGAGAAAACCGAGGCCCCTCCCAAGAACATCTTAGAAGTTGTGGCAGAAAATCCGTTCCCTGAGTGGTCTCTCTTATCTATGTCTAGACGAATTTAAGAGAGAAAGTGAATGCAGCCATCCTGATCCAGGCCTGGTGGAGAGGCACCCTGGTACGCCGCACACTGCTGCACGCGGCCCTCCGGGCCTGGATTATTCAGTGCTGGTGGCGACAGATCTTAATGCAACTACTGGAGAAGAGGCGGCGGGCAGCGCTGATGGACTATGCAACCAGAGAAAGGGCAGTGGTCAAGCTCCAGTCTCTGGTTCGTATGTGGCGCATCCACTGGCGATACTGCCAGGTGCTTAATGCCATCTATGTCATCCAGTGCCACTGGCAATGCCACAACTGCCAGACCTGTGCCTTCCTGCGGGGCCACTGTGTGGTCACTGCCACCCACCTGCAGTTCCACATTGAGATCATCAACTAAGCAAGGGCCTCAGTAAAGTTCTAATGTGGTCTATTTGTCTCAGAGTCCCCAGATAGTCGTAACTTCGAGGTTTGGGCCTTGCTGCCTCCTAGTCTCTCTTAGAAAGAATTTCAGTGAGGCATCCCCATGTCTGTGGACCCTGTAACAATCAGACAATGGTCATATGTCACTCACTCAGTTGTCAAAACAGAAACTGAGGTCTCGGTCTGGCCTGATACATGACAGAGCCAGAAGTCCTAGGTCCTACCCCAAGTCCATTTTTCCCCACCCAGGGGTCAGGGGGACAAGTATCTACCTTTCCCCCAAAACTCTGGGCACCCCTACACTTATGGGGCTCTGTTCGGTCAGCCTGGGACCAGGGTTGGCTGGGGGCTGCTGTGCCTCAGTCTTCTCTTCGGCAGGCACCTGGAGAGCATGCCAATGTCCGGCTGACTCTCCTGGGAGCAGTGCAGTGTGGCCCATGTGGAGGTCGGGCCTCAGGCCCAGGCGGCGCCAGGGCTGGACGTGCTCATGGATGAGAACAGCCAAAGTCCACAACTCCCCAGTTCCTTTGCCGCAGTCCCCTCCCCAGAACTTCTCTCCCCCAGGGCTGGATAACAAGGTTCCCTCTGATGTTCTCCCTTCCCCTACTCTTACCTCAGTTCTTGTGATTTTATCACCAGCCAGGATGACTCTATCTGTCTCTAATGCTTCCCTTGAATCCTTTCTGCTTCACTCCTCAAGTGCCCGCACTCAGGGCCACACCAAGCAACAGTACCCGGTAGGACTTGGGGACCAGAAGCTCCTTAAAGGAGCTGTCAGACATGGGCGCCTCTGGCCACGCACAATCGAGAAACACCTGAAATGCAGCTGAGGAACTAAATTTTATTTAAACTTAAATAACGGGGCTGGGGAGATAGCTCAGTAGAATAAGCACTTGCGTGGCAAGTGCAAGGCCCTGAGTTCAAGGCCCGGTACTACAAAAAAAAAAAAAAAAAAGCCAGGAGGGCTGCCTTAAACTTAAATAACCACTCATGCCCAGTGGATACCTCATTGGACAGTGAGTCTCTAGCCTCAGGGTCACTAGTAATCCTACAGTTTTGGCTAGATTGCTTTTCCTACTGCTCATTTCTCTGATTCCCTCCTTCTTTCCTTCCAGTTCATCTTTTCAATAATCTCAATAGATTATTTCTTCAAATGTGATATAGTCTTCCAATCTATTGGCCCTACCAATTTTTTACAAGTCATCACCCCAGACAGGTCCTTGTATTTTTCTTAATTCAGTTCAGATTCTGTGATTAAATATTATAATCTTGAAGGTGGGGCATGGTGGCACTTGCCTATAATCCCAGCACTCAGGAAGCTGAGGCAGGAGGACTGCTGCAAGTTCAAGGCCAGCCTGGGCTACATAATGAGACCTTATCACAAAACAAGAAAACATACAAAAAATAGGGGCCGGGGAGATGGCTCAGTAGAATAAGCGCTTCCCTGGTAAGCGTAAGGGCCTGAGTTCAAACCCCAGTTCCGCCAAAAAAAAAAAAAGAAAGAAACATACAAAAAATAATAATCTCTCCCTTTCCTCCTTCCCCCCTTCTCTCTCTGAACTCAAATGCCCTGCTCTGTGTCTCTAGAACAGTAGAACTTATCTTTAGCAAAGTCTCAATTTGTATTTCAACCGGACAAATTTCATAATAATTTTCTCTTGTACATTTGCAATCCCACTTTGTGGGTTGATTACTAACATCTCCTCTCGAAAAGTCCAGTTTCACTTGAACTCATTTTATGACACCACCACTAACTCATCTGAAGCAAGGGGAATGTTCTGGACCCCTCCTCCTCCTGCCCCCCCCCTGCATCCCAGGGTGCATCTGGTTCACACTTGCTCCTCCTCGAGCCGCAAATGAAAGACCTTCGTCCCATCAAAGGCAACCTCTTGGGCCATGGATACAGCTCAGTGACATAAGCACTGGCAGGGTTTTGAGGAAAAGGAAACCCCTCTCCACTGCTGCTGGGAGTATAGATTGGTGCAATCACTATGGAAATCAGTGTGGAGACTCCTCAAAAAACTAGGATTGGGTTAACAGCCATTCTCCTTCTGCGTAGCTTCCCAGAAGAATTAAACACATTATATCACAGCGATATCTGTGCACCCATTTTTATAGCAGCACAATTTGTAATAGCTAGATCTTGGAAACAACCCAAATGCTCATTAATGGAGGGATGGATTAAAAAAGATGTGGTCTTTTTATACAGTGCAGTACTACTCAGCCATAAAGGAGGATACAGTGGAGACATTTACAGATAAAAGGAGCAACTAGAGACAATACTCATAAATGAAATAAACCAGAGGCACATGTACAAACATTATATTATCTCCCTAGTATGAGAAGCTGGAAGAGTAAATAAACCCAAAATGCACAGTAGATATTTTAAAATAGGAAGAAACTGTTCAAAAGGAAATAGTGGGATGAAGGAAAGGAGGGGGGGAAAGGAAGGCAAAAGCACAAAAAAAAATTTTATTTACATCTTTATTTTATAGATATTCTGTATATTGTATTTTTCGATGACATGTCTATTTTTCATTAAAAAATGTTTGTGCCGATATTGTTTGGAAAATTAAATGCTTTTACCTTGTACTCTGAATAACTAATTTAAAGATAACAACATGCAATGTGTTAGCCATTGTTTCCCTCCTATTATCCTGTTTTGAAATTCTGTGGTGAGGGCTGGCCAAATAGCTCAGAGGATTAAATCACCTGCAAGCAGGCACAGGGGCCAGGGGTCAATCCCAGGGCCTGCCGTGCCAGCCGCACCCCTGGACTCTCTGAGATGGCAATTGAGACTGGATGTGGTGGTGCGTGCCTGTAATCCCAACTCTTGGGAGACTGTAAACAGGCGGATCACTACAAGTCTGATCTAGTAGTGAGACCCCAAACACCCTGTAGGCCCTTCCCTAAAATACAAAAAAGAAAGAAAGAAAGAAAGAAAGAAAGAAAGAAAGAAAGAAAGAAAGAAAGAAAGAAAAAATTCTGTGGGAGGGTTTCTCTTTCAAATAAAAATTTTGAACATCAAATACTAACAAATGCTGGTAAGAATGGGGACGGAACACTTCTACACTACAGAAATCAGTACAGAGATGTCTTTGCAAAAAACCAAAACTAGAAATTCCATTTAGCCCAGCCATGCTCCTTCTAGTTATCTTCCCAAAAGAGTTAAAGACATCTTATAGGGATATATGCACATGCAACTTTATGGCTTGCATGAATGTCCCCCAAAGCCTCATGCACTCACAGGTCAAGTGTTTGGGAGGTGGCTGGGTCGTGGGTGAGTGACTCTGGATCTGTCCATTTGTGGGTGGCGAATGTGATGCAGGGAAGCAAAGCCTGGTGGGAAGAGGTGGGTGGCCATGGGCACGGCCTGAAGGGTATAAACAAATCTGCCCTTGCCCCTTGCTGCTCCGCTGCTTCCGCCACATCCCGGGCTCATTCTCCTTTGTCATGCCCTCCACCCTGCCTTGGAGCCAGCCAACCACAGTCTGAAACCTCTGCAAACAGCGAGCCAGAATAAAGCTTTCTTCTTTTAACTTTTAGGTATCTGCTATTTTTTCCAACAATGAGAAAAGTAACTATGACACCCGTGTTTATAGCAGCACAGTTCATAACAACTAAATCTTAGAAGCAGCTTATATAACCATCAATAAATGAATGAATTTTAAAAATGTGGTATCACACAGAATGGAGTGCTACTCTGTCATAAGAAAGATAAACAAGTCATCTGTATAAAATGGAGGCATCTCGAGTCCATAGCATTAAATGAAATCCATCAGACACACAATCTTAAATACACATGGTTTCTCTTATATGAGAGACCCAAAATATAAATAAAGAGGAAGATAAAAGATAAGTCCTAGGAAGGGAGGCAGATCTTTCTCAAACGGGAAGGGGATATAGAGATGCAGGAAGGGGGGGGGGATGGGGAGGAAAGGGGATATAGAAAGGAATTAAGATTATGGAGGGCCAGGGAAGTAGCTCAGTGACATAAGTGCCTGCCTGGCAAGCTCAAGGTCTTGAGTTCAATCCCTAGTACTAAAAAGAAAAAAAAGGGAGAAGAAGTGTTATGACCATGAACCAACTTGACATAACATATGTAAGTATTATGTACCACAAATATGTACAAAAGAAAGAAAGGAAAAGAAAGAGAAAGAATGGGGCTGGAGAGACAGACAGACAGACAGACAGACAGACAGACAGACAGACAAGAGACAGACACAGAGAGAGAAAGAGAACCAATGAGCCTCGGAAGGCCTGGGGTCTTCACTCCAGGCTGATCTTTATTGCAGTGAAGCACCAAGAGAACTCCAGACACCTGGGAGGGTTTGATCTCCAGTATTCTTTTTTTAAGTATAAACTTTTTTTTCCAAAATTTTATTGATAAACAGCAATGAGACAGTTTCAAATCAAATCAGAAGTACAGTTTCAACAAATAACACACTGCATATATTCTTCTTAGTGGTTAATTGCTGTACAAGATGTGGACTTGAGATCCTATTTACAAACACCATTAGAACAAATCATTCTATTCATTAAGAGAATGCAACTATATATCTATCCCAACCACTTTGAATACACAGATACAAAATGGACATTCATCGGTATACCCCATTTTTTCTAAGTTCCGTTATTGAATATTATAGGTGTGTAAACTCAGCAAAATATTCTAAATGATCTCCAGTTTTCAACAGCAACAATCACAAAGAAACAAACTCATAAGGCAGACTAGGAAACCATTAAGTATGGCCCAAAGGAAGAAAATCAACAGAAACTCTGCCTGAGAGAGGTAAGACAGGAGTTAATAGGCAAAGGTTTTTTGAGCTGCCTAAGATGTGCTCAAAAGAGTAAAAAGAATACGAATCATGGAAAGAAAATTACATAGGAACAAAATAAAAATGATACAAAATATAAAGGGAAAGATAAAAAGAGCCCACCTGTGGGGTACTATTCAGCAAGCCAACAAATGCACCG